GTGTGTGTGTGTGTGTGTGTGTGTGTGTGTGTGTGTGTGTGTGTGTGTGTGTGTGTGTGTGTTTCCTCACCAGGAACAGGTATCTGTCCATGGTGGAGGTGTTCCTGGCTGCCAGCTTCATGATGTGGCCCTCCTTGATGAATTCGTTGGACGGATGAACGATGTCCTCCTCTTCTCCCAGCATCTCGTAAATCTCCATCAGCTTCTTCAGGTTTTCCTGAACAGTTACAGGAAGTTTGCTTTCGCTCCAAACTGGACAGATTTTCTACCTGCAGAGGCAGGAAATCTGCTCCGCTACTTACAGATTTCCTAATGGCGCTGTTGGAGTGGGTGGCTGCTGTGGCGATGATTTCTAATGATTCTGGAAAATAATGTACACATTTCAATATTTCCTCCGTCTTCAGAAACACATTCATAAACGACAACAAGGTGGAAGAAATGTCTGTTGTTAATATCGGCCCAGTGTTGGCGTTTCTGCAAAGAACCAATCAGCTGCGACACCAGATCACCTACGGAAGACAATTAGAGCCACCAAAAAGAAAGACTTCTGACTTTTGATTAAAGTCTTGAAAAAAAATCAAAATTATGACAAAAAAATGAAAAATCTGAGATTGAAAACATTTAGAAAAAAACCTTATTCTTGAAATTGTGACTATCTGATGACTTTGAAAGTTTAAATATTGACTTTAAAACTTGCAATTAAGACTTTCCATCTTATAAATGACTTTAAAACTTAGAACTATGATTTTCAATGGGAGTGCAGATAAAATGCAACCCTTGCTTAAAAAAATCCTCTGAAAGTGAATAAAGAATTCAACAGAAAAACGTAGAAACACGATCAGAAAGTCTGAAGTTCTGCTGATCGGGTTTGAATGTTTGTTCACTCGAGAAGATTCCAGCTGATAAATGTGGATTTTAACGTACTTTCTGCGTCGCTGCGGTCCGGGTCGTTCTGAGGAAGCTTCTTCAGGTAGTCCTTCAGCAGCATCTCGTATCGGGGAACTCTCTGCACCGGCTCCAACATGTGATGCTGCAGCGTCAGGCTGCCGCAGATCTCCTGACTCTGTCCACAAACCAACAGGAAGCTTCTTAACGTCAGTCAGAAACGTTTGCGCCCAGAGCGGAGCGGCGCAGGTTTACCTGAATCTCCTGAATGATGGCCTTGAACGGCGGCGAGCGGTCGGTCCACTGCTTCAGCAGCTCCATGGCCTTGTCGAAGTTCTTCACGTACTCGGCGTACATTTTGAGGAAGGGGGTGAGTTTCTGCAGGATGTCGCCGATCCGCGGTGTGGACGCCCTGCAGCGCAGCAAGAAGGATCAGATTATCTGACATCATTCAGGAGAACACAACAAAAACTACCCAGAGTTTCAAAAACCAAAGCATTTTTCCCCTAAATTAAACTGATAATTGCCAAAATTATGCAAAATGACGTTTTCATATTATTACTGAGTGAAGCTGAATTTCAGATCACACTCAGAATAATCAAATATATGTTTGTTTTTTAACAGTGACAGAAAAATCCGCCTGTCATTTTGACAGATTATAATTCACACCCCGACCACCAGGTGGAGACATTTTCACCTTTACACACTTCACAGACATAAATAAGTCCAGGCGTCATAAAAACTAATATCTCCACCACATTTTGAAAACAAGGGTGTCCAATGTGGAGCGGGGGCCGTTTATGACAAAAACTCAAGTACATTTTTAATTGAGTTTGTTTCAGGGTCTGTAATTAGTTAATCACATTTTAATTGGCAAAGTAAGCAACATATTCAATTAAAAAAACATTTTTACTGCTAAATTATCAAATATATGAGCTCAACAACAAAGATATGACTTTTGATCTGCTCTTCAACCATCAGACTGGAGCAAAGTGTTTTTCTATGTGTTCATCTTTTCAGAGTTTCATGGAGCTTCTTTACAAATGTGGACGCTAACATTAGCATTAGCTGCTACGTGTTTAGCATTGAGATGCTATTTTAGTCTTAAATAGTTTCTCTAACAGAATAACTCCTTTTAGCATGACTTGAACACAACAAGCATCTTTTCCAGCGTCCAATCAGATTGTTTGAAACAGAAATGAACCCCCTGCGGGCCGAGAGAAGCAGCTTCCATCGCTGCTGTTGGAGGATGCAACTTGTGCGTCAGGTTAATAGTTGTACCAGAAACACACAAATGAGAAAGTTCCAAGATGTAAAAAAAGAAAAAAGAAAAGAAAAAAGGCTAGATTAATTGCATTAATATTTTAAATTTCAGGCCCCAGTTCCTGTCTGACCTCTTGCGTGTCCAGGTCTGTTCACGGTTTCATGTTTTTACACGTTTAGCTGGAACCTACCACTCCCCCATGCGTTTCTCCAGATCAGGAAGCAGAAACTGGCTGTGGAAGGCGTGGATGGAGCTGATGTTGGAGAAGATGTTCTTCACCACATCCAGAGGGAAAGTGCCTTTATTTGCCTCCTCCATCATCCTGGTGCAGAACACCTGCACAGCCATGCACGCGGTTAGGGATCAACAACGTTTTTTCTCTGTCGACTGAAAACAGAAGTGAGACGGAGATTTGGGCGAGTTCCTCACCTGGTCCAGCAGGTTGAGTCGGGCCACGTACGCCTTCTCCGTGTGCAGCAGCTCGCTGGCGATCTTAAACAGCTTCTGCTCGTTTGTCTCCTGAGAAGAAAGAAGACATTTCTATTAATAAGGACAGTTTAAACATCACAGCCCTGCAGGAACCAGGAAGTAGAATCTGTTTCTGAAAGGACTTCGGTCTCTCCAGCTGAGCTAGCTGCTCTGATCAGCAGCCCAATGAGTTCTGGTTCTTTCAGAACAGGAAATGAAAACAGGGAATAAGGGAAATGACACCAGAAAAAACAAAAACACCAGTTAACAATGAGTGAGAAGTCAGCTGCTGTCACACAACAAGAGAGGTCTGAAAAAGCGATGGTGTTGCATTCTGGGACGTGGAGATTTCATAAGGTGCAGAGCCACAAAAAGGAACCATCTTCCTTTTAAATGCTGGTCAGAAACCTGACAACAACGAGCCACACACTTCCTCATGATGTCCGTCATGAATTCTCCGATCAGCTCAAACAAACAGCTGCTGGTTTTATCGTGAAAACAAGACAAAACTGCAGCTTTTCTGCCGTTAAACAGCAACAACTGGGACGGGTTAAGAGTTTTCACATTAAACACGTGAAAGACAGTGATGTCTTAGGGCATCACTGCTGTTTATCCTGCTTTGTAAATAAATAATCATAGCACTTCGTTAAACACAGACAGAAATGATGTTGCTAGTTCAGTAAAATACTTGGTGACTTGGCAAATTTACTTCAATAGTAGTAAAAAAATGTTGATTATTTTTGGTGATCCTGCTCATACGTCACAGTTAGGACGGTACCAGCATTTCCTCCAGATGTAGCGAAATGATGATGTCCAATTAACTAATTAATTATTAAATTAGTCTCCAGACATGCATTTCTGTTGATAAACTGAAATCTTTCCGATTCCCCTGGCGTGACGGATTCTTCCTCGCTGAGCGGCCGTCCGGTCCACATCGTTTCTCTGTGGGTAAACGACCAGCTGTCTGACCAGCTTCAGCAGCATCTTCACAGTTTCAGCCTTCTGCTCTGAGGTCAATCTGAGGTCACAGACGGCAGTTAACCTATCAGATGTCTCCAAAGCCATGACATCATCATCTGAGCTTCGCCTTGTTGGTTAAAGAGACAGAAATCTTTCTGAAGATGTTAAATAAATCTTTCATTATTGTGAAGTTTGGTCTAATAAACTTCAGACAGTGATAAAATATTTGTATGTAAACGTTAAAGTTCAGCGTCTGCCTGTGACGTCTTTCACTCGTCTGCATCGTTTGGGCGGCTTCTCGCCTTTCTGCTTTCACACTTTTTCACATTTCTAGTTTATACTTAAAAAATGAATGTAACCACCATAAAATGTAAGCTTGAACAAAGTAGGAGGAAATATTAGAAAATATGACTTATACTCTATAACCTGGACACCAAATTTAGTCAGTTTCAGAGTGAAAACTGTCTCATAATTAACTCTAGAGCCAAGCGCTAACCCAGTGAACATTGACTGACCTCTTGGCTTGGTGCTAACGGGGCTAATTGACTTAAGCCTGCTGTTTACTGTGGCAGCTCAAATTAATGGCTTATCTGGTTTCACTTCCACACACATCCAGGTAGGTGTAGCATGGAGTCTGTTCTGCTGTGAAACCCAGTGAGGTTACTGGTTCCAGGAAGGTCTCCACATGAAATTTACTTTAAATTCACTGGGAAATTCTTCCTTTTACTCGTAAGTCAATCACAAAGACAATTTTCCCACGATTGGCTCAGATTTGCAGTTCAAACAGTGAAAAATCTGAATTTCTCCCCATTTTGTATAAAATCAACGTGTTTAAGTTCAGAATGTGCATCAGTGGAGGAGAAACTGGATGAAAGTGGATGTAGGGGCGATATGAGCTTAAAGTTTTATCACAGTATTTTCTGTTAGTATTGTGAAAACAATAAAAGTGACAATAATAATTATTTATTACTTATTTTTTAGGTAGTTGCAATCACAGCCACACAAACAAATACTGTTCATGAAACGTTTCTTTAGGACACCAGTCACATAAAGAAGTTTAAAAATGCACAAAATAACTGAATTGAATCATATTTTCAAATGTATTGCTATTCATTGAAACAGTTTTATGGAAACAAGTGGAGAACAGCAGCAAACAAATAAAAACAGTTTTAAAGGTTTTTAAACATCAATTGAAATGAATAGTGTCAATGATAAATCAAAATCTTATTTTAATAAGTAATTTATGATGGTTGTTTACAAACAGCCGTTTTGCTGGGATTTTAACCCACAACCATCTCAGGTTTACAGACAATGAGAACATTTCCAGAGAGGCTGAGTGGAAGAACAACGTCTCATTGAGGTCAAAGGTCAGAGGAGAATGGGCCAATCAAGCAGAACCTCTGCAGTTACAACATGTGGAACCTTGAAGCAGCTGAGCTACAGCAGCTGATGACTTCACTGCTAACGCCAGGCTAAAATCCGAGACTCTCAAACTACAGGACGATAAAACAAATGTTGGTTTCGAGAGACGATGGTCTTCTGCAGAAAGAAGATCCAAATGAAAGAGTTCTGCATCGAGTTTTATACTAAAATATGTTTTAAATAGTAAAAAAGGAATTGACTGTAATGAAAGAGTTAGCTAACAGTCGCTGCGCTGTTCAAAAGATTAACTAATTCAGGTCTAAAACCAAGAGCCTGAAATATCAGCAGGGACACTTTGAAAAACAAAGAAGCTGCAGCTAGTATAATATTTAACACATTACAGAGAGTCAAGGCTGTAATTATATACAGCTTACTTCAAAATGATCCGAATCTCTGAACTCAGGCGTTTCGATCGCCTTCATAGCTGCAGGTGTGTAAATCCAGCCTCCAAACACGCAGACGGATCGCGCAGGTCAAATCAGGCAGCAGCACAAAAACTGTTTGAGTTGTCAAACATTTGACATGAAGACCATGAAAACATCCAGAGTAAAGGTCAAAGATCACAGGCGAAGCATCTGGAACCAGAGTCGCTCTGAGCAGCTCAGGACTGGAACCACCTGTCCAACAGCTCCAGAAATCTCCTTGCTTCTCAAACAGCAGGCGGCTGTTGGTGGTTTTATAAGGAAGAGGAAACGGCTGGGTCTCCTAAAACCACGAGAGCTGGGAGTCGATAACTTCAGGATCAGCTCAAGGACAGAGCGCAGGATTCTTAACAGAATGGATTAAGATGCAGAAAGCATTAACCTGTCTGCAATGTGTAAAGTTTGGTGGAAGGAGGATCTGTTCTTCAGAGCTTAGTCTCAGTCTGTTAGTTCCAGTGAAAGGAACTCTGTCCAAAAGGTTTCTGCTTGCTGGAGCTTTCAGTCTCATTCCAGCTGCCTGCAGGCAGTTCAGGGAATTGCTTTTCCTGTTCCAACGTTACGGAGCAGCGGAGCACAAAGCCAGACCCTTTTCTGTTTTCTATTGCAAAAACTACTCCATTTGCTTTGTTATATTATTACTTTAAACTTGTGTCGGGAAACTTTTTTAAAAGAAAAAAACATTTTTATTTTTATTTATTTTAATTTTAATGTAAGACCCATTTATTAAAAATATTCAGTTTTTTCCCTATTTTTTATTTTTATTAATTTTCAAACTTGTTTCAAGAACTTCTTTAATGAAAAAGAAACTGTATTTTATTTATTTTCTTTATTAATATTTGTTAAAACATTTTTGTCAAGAATGCCATTTTAAATATTACATCTTTTTTAACTTATTTTTAAGAAACAAACTAAGTTAAAACCTCTTTAATTAAAAAATATTCTACTTTAATTTACTATTTTTTTAACTTGTCAAGACCTTTTAACTGAACAACAGGCTATTTCTTTCATTTTCTTTATTTTTTATTATTACAAACCTTATTAAATAATAATTATTGTTATAACTTATTTTTATTTTACTTTTTAACTTGTCAAAAACTTTAACAGGTTGCAAAATCCTGACCTGAAGCTGATAGAAACCTGTGGGAAGAATTAAAGCTGAGACTGCGAGCCTCGTCCCACATCAGTGTCTGACCTCATGACTTCTGGAAGACTGGTCACTCATTGTCCTCATGGAAAACCTTCCTAGAACAACTTATAGCTTCAAAGCGTGAGCCAACATCCTCTGACTCGCTTAAAGAGTTAAAGTATATAAAGTTTTGTTTAGGCAGCAGAGAAAGAGACGCCTCATATTTCTGCAAATGCTGAATAAAACACAGGAAAGTCATTTAAATGTTTATTTATATCTCATTCTGCTCAGATTTCTCAGTTGTGTTTATCCCTGAGAAGGCAGAGCAGCTGATATATTTAATCTCCTCAGACAACCGCAGGTTCCTGGGGGGTTTGGTTGCTACGGCAAAACTCAGCAGCTGAAATGTTCGACAGAGCAGCTCTTCACCCAAACAGGCTGCTTCCCCCTCACACAACGACTGATTACTTGTGCTTAGTTTATAAAAACAAAACCTACCTTTTGCTCAGAGTGTCCCTCTTCACTCTTCTGTAGAGTTTCTGTTGTTTTCTCCGTATCCTCATTCTCAGCACCGGTCCTGTCTGAGTGCTGTGAAGCTGAATGATCGTCCACCTCATCTGCTTTTTCCAAATCTCCGTTTACGAGCTCAGCAGTCTCTGTCCTCACGCTGTGGTGCGTCTCCTCCTCCGTCTCCTTGTCCTGCTCCATCTGTGCTAGCACCCCGTTAGCCGCTGGCCTCTTGGCATCCTGCGTGGCGGCCGCCGCGCACGAGAACTTCTCCTGAATCTTGCTGATGTCGGCCCGCTGGCAGACGCGGAGAGCCGAGCTGCAGCTGGACACCTTGCTGGTCTGTTTGAGCGCCGAGCCGTCTCTCTTGTTGTCTGCGCTGCTGGAGGAAGAGAGCAAAGGCGAAGGAGGAAGTGTGTCAGAGTGCAGAAGAAGTTATAGAAGGACTTTCATTTAAATTATGCAGTCAAAGGAGCCTGCAGACGGCTGTTGGTAGCTGACATTTTCACAGCCAGTGTGAGTCTCGGCGTCGAGCTGCGTGAGTTCGCACGTGGGCGTCAAGAGTTAAAAATAAATCCAGAGGAGGTGCACTAACTTCTTGCTGTGGCAGAGGAAGTGTAACAGAGGTACAGTAATAAAGAGGTGTTCCCAGGAGGTACAAGCTGTCCTACTTCTACACAGGAAACCTACTTTCCTCTGAGCTCAGAAATAAACGTAGAAAAAGGTTTTAAAAAGTTTGAGTCCAGCTGCTCCACATCCTGCAGCTGCTTCCTCGCCTGAATGAATCACCTGCAAACAGCTGCTAAAAAATCTCTTCAGCTGATCTCAGCTCCTTTTTAAAAAATAAAGTCGCTTTAAACTCCTTTATTTGCTACATAACCTTTACCGATACAACAGTTTCTGTGTTGCAATGAGCATTACTGCTCATAAAAACAGGAAGTGTGTATAAATAGAGGAAGAACAGGCGGCTGGTGAGCAGTCTGCATGAATCAGTTGTGTGCTGCATGCCACCTGAGATCTACTACAGTCTGACAGGAAGAACCCAGAGACACGAAAATAAACCAGATGCATCTGCTGCGGGAAACGTGTGGGGCTAAAATATGAACTCCTCTGCTCTGTGCTTCAAACTGTGGCTGACGGCACCGAAACGACAATGAAGTTTCACTTGTAGGCATGTGAAACGCGGCCAGCCGGCCGGCGGGCAGCATGTGGACCAGATTAGGACATTAGTGGCTAATTCTGCTCTGAGAAGCTGTGGGTGTTTCCTTCCTTTGTGCTGCAGCGCTGCAGGTAATCCCCGCTAGCAGCAGCAGCAGCAGCAGCAGCAGCAGCAGCAGCAGCAGCATCGGAGTGGAAACTGAGGTGATTAACATCAGGAGCAGAGGAAGTCTGCTGATGTTCTCACAACCTGCAGTAAATAAACAATAAGACTGATTCATTCTGATGCTCATCTGAAAACTACCTACTGACCACGAGACAGTTACAGGAGGGTCCTCAAACTGTGGTGCATGCACCACTGGTGGCACGCAGACTCATGTTATGGGGACCAACACGAGGTTTTGCCATTTATACTAAACAGCTAAACAGATGAATGCAAAGCTAATTAATGGTGAAATATTGGGTTGGTAGTTGTGGGCTGGATACTTACAACACAAAAAACTGATTCTTCAAAAAGATACAGTCTCAAATATATTAATAATTTGACATTCTTGTGGTGTAAAATCTTCTTATTGCATCAAAATGTAGCCCAGCACTGCCCCTCCCCAGCCTGTTGCTGCACAATCCCAACGTTTTACTTTTTACCCAGTGGTACTAAAGGCATGGTTGGTTATTTGGAAATCAGGGCCGGGACTTTGAAGCATTAACTTTGATGAATTAGTTACACAGATTTAAAAGCGTAAAAAAAAAAAAAAAAAAAAAATGCAATTAGCCGTAGTTTCTTTATGTGTTTCTGCTACGCCCAAAAATCTGACGCACAAGCTACATGCGCTAACAGCAGCAAAGGACGACAAAGCTGCTAACGCTCACTCTTTGGTTGCCTAGCAACAACCTGTTGAGTAACTTGGCAGCAGCAATTTCAGGTTTTACCTCATAACTGCTTCAAAAATAAATAAAAAACTTAAAAAACAGCTTGGAGCGAAAACTGTGGATAAAACAGAAAAACGCCACCAGTTTGGCAGCATTCAGATATTTAAAACAAAAACTAGTCAAAAATTACCGATATTTACCAATTTGTAAGGTTTATATCATGATAAATTTTTAACGGTGCAAATAAAAAGTCTAGATTGGTTTTATGAGATCCAGTTTTCCTTAGGTTCAAAGACATCAGTGTTGTCTCTCAGGCAAGTCTGCAGCTAGAATTTAACTGTAATTTACCAAATAATGATAAAAACAAAACACTGAAGCACCAAAGTGTTGGAAGTGGGAACCAGACGGCCGATCAGCAGAGCTACAGCAGCTCCTACCTTTGTCTCCTGGGTTTAATCCGGCAGCAGTGAGTCCTGCTCTCCGCCGGCTGAATGATGACCAGAGTTTCCCCTCGCCTGAACAAATCTCCTCTCATCCCCTCACTAACGCCTCAGCTGTCACACAGACTAATCTGCTGCCATCGGAGCTACACTCATCCAGACAAGCTCAGGACTTTCATCTGACGTCTTCTGCTTTTCCTTTTCTTGAAATAAACTCAGGCGTTGGGAAAGAAAAACTCTGTCACTTTGATTACAACAGCAACCCTGAGGGTTTTTATTACAAAAGCACCAGAGGGGGAAAAAATGGAGTTAGCCAATTAGAACTGAGCCGTTTTCTGCAGTTAGACCAGGAATCTGAGGCATTTAGGATTCACAGAGTTTTTATCCTCATTTTAACTAAATAAACCCATTTAGAGCCACAAACGTTCCCTGATTTATGGAAACTAACAAGACCTTTGACACCACTTCACAATACCTGATGAATGGCTAGTAAACAGTTTATAGCTGTGTGTTTAATTATTCTGTAAACATTTTATAAAGCATTAATTACAAAATTGTAATTAAATAGATTAATCTGTTAGCACAATGACATGTAAAGTGAGGCTGAAGTTTGAAGAAAAACTAAATAGAATGTGTGAAGTTCGCTGTGTGGAAACCGGCTTTGTTCAAAGTTTTTCTGTTTATTCTGTGCAGATTGAGCTGAAGAAACTGACAAGAGATTTTCCTGTTTTATTGCTGTTTTATGTGTGAGAAAAAGTAGCAGATCTACCCAGTTAAAACGGATTTTAATTTGTCTGGTGCAACTGGATCAGGAAACCTTCACTCCTGATCAAATGTTCCCCGATTGCCAAACTTTGGCTGAAGAGGTGCTTGTACTTCCAGTTTACAGTGCAGCAGCAGAGCACAGAGGCATCCTCCAGATCAACAGCAAAACTTTGAGAGATTTCCAGTAGGAATTTGAGACGGTGCGTTCAGGTGAAACGTTCATGATTTAATCGTTTATTTCATTGTTTATATGTCACTGAGGTCACAGTCAATGTCTGTGCAGAGAAAAAGTTACATTCATTCTTCTGCCTGATGTGAAGGCACCATGTTGATTCTCTCAAATAAATATTACGTTTTACGTAGAACAAAAAGTCTCCCTTAGACAGCTGTGGATGTTTATGATGCAGTGAAGATGAAACTATCTTATGATAAAAATAAAATCTCACTGTGCTGACAGGGTACCAACTTCGTCTGAAATGTTGAATGCAGGAACTGTTTGCCTCATTATTTGGCAAGAACATTTTATTTTATTTTCAAGTAATAAAAATAAAATAGTCAAATTTTATTTGGTTCTTAATTAATGCATTATTAGTGATTATAAAGTGTTTACAGTTTAATTAAAAACATATTTATGTATCAGCCATTTACAAGGGGTGTTTTATTAAATATCAAACATTTTCTCCTATTTTTAGGTTTTAAATGAAAGAAATACTCAAATCTTTTTGAGGATGGATATATTTTCTTCTGTTGGATGTTTGTATTTGTTTATAATGATGTAAAAAAAAAAAAGGAAAAGTGAATAACAAGAAAAATAGATCAAAATTAATATTTCTGGTCCTTTTAGTGTCATAAAGTTGTGGAAAACCAGTGAAATTATTCCATGGAACAAACTGGAAAACTGATAAACCTGTATTTGTCATTATCTCTATATTTAAATCATTATTAAGAGGCATGTGATCCCTCCCCACACGTTAGAGTCCAGAGAGAACAGAGAGTCAGTACCGGTTCTCCTCAAAGCGGCTGATCAGGTCCGACACCTTGGACGCTTTGACCCTTTCGCGCGGCGTGGGGGTCGGCTTTCCTCCTCCGTCCTCCATGATGAATCTCAGCGGGGATTTCTGGACGCTGCCCGGCGGCGGCTGCAGAGGAGACACTGGACTCAGCAGGTGCTCCGGCTTTGGCGGCACTAAAGAAACAAACAAATAAAAAGAAACATGCCTGAGTCCTGATGGATGCATTCATGATTTTTTCCACTGGAGGAAATATGAAGCTGCAGTTCCACTCTGAAGCTGAAGAGGGCAGCAAAATCTACCCTATGTGACGACGGGCCTTACCTCTCAGATTCTTTTCTTTGTTTTTTTGGCACATTTTAAATACTTCAAATCAAATCAAATTAATTTTAATGAGACGTGATCATCACAGCAGTCGAGACACAAACCCACCAGCCGATGGGATCGTGGTTCCGTCTCCTTTTAAGTGCATTGTTAACTCTTTTGGAAAAGCTGAAAACCATCTCAAGCAAACATAAAACTTATTTGAAACATTGAGGATGTTTTTTTTATTTTGCTGCTTCCATCACTCTTTTCTAATGCGCTCATAAAAAAAAAGATGGAAACAGCTGCTGAGAACCAGGATCCACATAATAAACAGTGGATCAAAATGTGGATCTCCAGGGGGAGGAAGGCCAACCAGAACCACTCCAAGAGCCAGAGCTGGATTTACAAGAATCTGGGCCCTGGGCTGGAATCTGTTTTGGTGCCCTAGTCAGTAAAGGAAACATTATTTTGTTAATGTAAATTAGCTTTTGTTCTATCACAGGTTTAAACTGATACTAATTGATGACGGTAGGTTTAATCCGTATCTTGGTCAGTAGATCCATATTTTTACAGAATGTCTGCAAAAGATGCATTCAAAAAGAAGGATAAAAATCTGTGTGTTTACAAAGACCAAACTTAAATTAACCAAAAACAAGGTCAGGTTGGTTTAAAGTTTTCCCCTTAAAAGATTAAATTATTTGGAAACTGATTTTTTATTCACTCAGGCTACTTTCCTGTGATACTAACATTTATTCGAGGATCTATAGAAATGAGTTACGAGGCAGAAACTATCAGCTCTGTTCGCAGGTTTATAATTAGGTTTACAGCAACGAGAAGAAAGAAGTTCTTCATTGTTATCTTTGTAGAATGATTAACTGAAGTCAAACAGAAGAGGTTCACTGGTCTCACGGTTCACTGATTCAAGGACTTATTACACAAACACACTGTGGACTGTGAATCCTAAATCATTCAGCATGATTTACGGACGGCATGCCGACAGGTACCTTGTGGTTTAGACCGTAGCAGAGTCCTGCTTCCAGGTACTCTTCCATTGACCCCTCCCCTCCTCCTGTCAGCTGCCCCCCCAATCGCCCGATTCAGACACTCCTGCAGGATGGGCGAGCCGCCGCTGGCTTTCCTCGGCGAGCTGTAGCCTAGAGCTGAGGGACAAAGAATGCACATCCATCAGGACTTCCACAGACGGTCACACCAACACACTCGCTCATCATGGTGAAGGTGGGCAGTGGCAGATGACCACAGCAGCACACTGTGGTTAATGTTATAGCACCAATAGCTACTCGGATGATGCTGAGGCTGAAGAATATCTGCTGCTGAGGTACTTTAATATCCTGAAAAGGTCCAAAGGTCCAGAACCACAGAAACATATTTTTATTAAATCTTCCCACAACTTAAAAGCCTCTCTAATCGTTCTGATTTGATAAGAAATACTGCCTGTTAGCAGCACACTGAAGCTAATCTGCTAATGTGCTGAAAGCAGAGATAATATTTTGTTTAGTGCTGTAGTGTTTTTGCTACAGCCCTGGTTGTTAATGTTTTGTATTTTTATTTGTTTGTTGAACACTTGCCACTTGCTCAATAAAGTTTCTTCAAAAAACGACAATGAAACAGAACAGACGTCAAAATAAGAGCATAAACGTCTAACTACTGGAAGAATTACGGTTGTTAACCGAAACACAGATATCAAAATGTATTCAACTCAAAGTCTACAAAACAGCCAACTTTAAAATTTATCTGGACAAAAATATTTAGGGGAATCTAAGAGCCTTAAACAAAAAAAATTAGCTCCACTATTAGCACATTGGCAGATTCAGGGGAAGCCAAGTGTGACAAATATGTTTCTAAACTTAGCAGAAACTTTAAAGCGCTAATCTAAAAATGACCGCCGCTATTAGCGCATTAGCAGAAGTGATCCCACTGCTGCATGGAAATACACAGCAATGAATTACTTGGAGAATCTTCTCACATTCTCCACACAGATGACATTTATTCCAGAATGCATCACTGGAGAGGAAACCGTTTCAAATCTTTAGATTCCTGAATGTTTTCACCTAATTTTACCTAAAAACCTCAGTTACAGAGTTGGGTGAGTAAAGTTTGGTGCAGCTGTACGTTGTGTCTGCAGACCAAACTTACGGATTTGGTCTTCATTATTTATTAAACTTTTCTTTAAATGTTGCAAATATAATGAGCAACGTCACAGCTGCTCTCTGGGCAGCATTCAGCTCTCATCTCTGCCTATTAATACTGCTCTTAATTTGTAGAGGAGCTAAAGCTAAACTTTGTTAAGATTTCTCAGAGGTATTCTGGATTTTTCCCTTCTGACTGTGGAAATGATGCATTTCTTTCTGGAGCTGTTTGAGGGTTTTGGGTCATTTTTCTGACTCTGGTCGTCTTGGGAGGCGTTGATCCTCACGGCCTCCTCAGCTGCAGCGATGTTGAACAAACTGGATCTTTCTTACCGGACAAAGCAGGTGTAACTACTGAAAGTTTGAAAATGACAAACAAAGCTCTGGAAAAGTCAGAAACTGGAACATTTACTGCTCCGCTACAGCCACAGATATGGACAAGATCAAGACTAACAGACCAAATATTGGCCCGATTATCTCACCAATAATCCATCTGTTGAGACTTTTCCTGACCAGCTGGTCCAGACGGACCAGCATGACTGTTTAGATGGAGCAACAGACACAGACAGGCAGTGTTTACTGGAGACTAAACCAACCTCACTCTGACCTCAACACACACACACACACACACACACACACACACACACACACACACACACACACACACACACACACACACTACATGTGGCTTTGTCAAGCGGACTGGCAGAGAAAATGTCCTAATAAGGATTCACATTTCCACAAGTTCTAAATAGTTCCAAACTATTAAGTTTGTTCATTAGTTTCCATTTAAAGGGGCCACTCCGTTTAGGCCGGACGCAGACTGTGAGTATGGCGCTTTTATTGATGAGTAAAAAGCCTGAAAATAAATGAATCTCTTGATAAGCACCAAATCCCAGCAATTTTTTTAAGAACATTACGATGTGATATTTTTTTACCCTTAGAAAAATCACCAGTGCCGCATCTTCTGCCCCCTACTGGCTCTTTTCATTCTCATTCTGAGTCTTAAAACTGAGCAGAATGCTGAGGAACCTTTTATCAATAAGCTATGACCTCCCGTTTCCACAGGACATAAATATGTGTTACACAGAGGTTCATTTGTCTTTGCCACTCTTCAAAATGGGCAGCAAACATTTGATTCAACCATGACAGGTGTGTGTTTGTCTACAAAACTCAGCTAAACGTCTGGAACAAAATCACAGCAGGTTGAGACTCAACCAAATCAGAGCAGTGATTTCAAATTTAGTCATTGATTAATAATTAAGTGCTGCAATACACACCGATTCATTCAAAAAATTAAAACACAAATTACACAAATACCACAATCACTTTTAGTTTATGGAGTAGGAATTGTATTTGAATATTTAAAACATTTTAGAAGGAAATATGTTAAAACCATTCATCCGTCCATCGTCTAAGCCAATCCACCGGGCAACGGTGCTGCAGAAATAAACTGAATTGAATAAAGAAAACAGTCAATTACTCTATATTCACAAAATCTGCAAAACTAAAGTGCTTTGATGATTTCTGCATCATAAATCTATTATTTTGTCTTGTGCATAACTACATGAAGAGGTTTGTGAAACCGATAAGCATTTTCTTCCATTCTTTGTGCTTTATCCAGTGAAACACTCACCGTCTAAACACAGACTACATGAAGAGTTTCTGGTGTTCGCTCTACGTGTGGAGCGCCTCTCAGGATGAAGTCTGTTTGCTAAAAATTGTTAGTTTGGGCCAAAATGGTGCTTAGAGAACCATATTTATTTTGCTTAACATGATCTTTATCTGGCCAGCCCTGAAGCATAAAGAGGGAGAAACAACCACAGAATCACATACTCACAGTTTTAATTTCATGCAGTCTGCCCTAAATTAAAGGCAGTAGCTGGAGGAGCTGTCTGCCTGGAAACGATCCCACGCTGCGTTCGGCACGACCACCTTCCTGAAATAACCGATTAATTAGCAACACGGCCTCGACAAATTTCTCTTGATAAGCTGGTTGGCTTCCCCTCGCAGCCACATGAAGCCATCACAAGAAAACAGTCAACAAGTTGTGTGTTATTATAGGAACGGAGCTCAAATGCCTCCTGTGAACCGATCGTTTTCATCCTGAGACAAACCGGAGCTCCAGGAAGTCAGCTTCAGCTTGGACTGAAATAACTGCAGCTGCTCTGATCACTGCTGCAGATAAGACCAAGGCAACACAAACCCAGACGTGGAAGTGTCAAAATGTCTAATTATTTTCATCATCAACATTAAAATAATCGTTTCTCCTAACTGGAGAGTTTGGTGAAAGCTGCTGCTGCTCCTGGTCTCACACTTATTCCAGCATCTTCTTATTAAAGCCGTCTGGGAAGAGCGGCAGACCGCTGCGTTCTGAAAATTACAGGCAGCCACGGCGCCACGCTGCAGAAACGCTTTGATTCTCTGACAACCAGAGGAGGAGAACAGCAGATCCCAGATCAGCTACTATCTGTAGACCTAAAGAGCAACGATCAGCAGCAGCAGCAGCTTCAGTTGTTACAGACAGAAACTAGAGCGCAGGCTGAAGCCTGGTGCAGATCCAAACCTTCAGAGTCACATAAAGACAGTTACAAAGTCGGCCTTCTATAAAGGGACGGCTCAGAACCACAGCACATTAAGGACCAGCTGGTGTCGTATCGACCTTCCAGACCTCCCAGGTCTTCTGGTTCTGGTTCTGCTCTGCATCCAGAACCAAACGTGGAGAAACAGCATTCAGCTTCTGTGCTCCACAAATCTGGAACAAACTTCCAGAAAACTGAAAAACAGCTGAAACACCGAGTTCCTTTAAATCCGGCGCAGAAGCAGAGTTTGTTGACACAAATAGGCACTTTTTCATCTTTTAGGGAAAATCTTTTTTACACATGGATGACATTTTCTTGAAAAAAGAATATTAGCCATCACATTTATTTATTTATTTTTGCATTCATCTTACTTTTGGAGTGTCTTTAATCTCAAAAGCAAATCTTGCAGAAACTGTTTTTATTAAGTTTTGTTTCTACAATGATTTGCTGATCTGTTTTGTTGATTTCAATAAAATTGTAATTTACTTTAGTCTATTATTGAGCAGGTGAAATAAAGGCTTTAAAAGCTTATTTTAAAAATGTAAGGTTTCCATGTCTGGCTGGTGGATGTGATCATCGCCTCGCTCTGCCTCTCCTCTGAAGACGCAGCAGAACGCTCAGAGCCTGCAGCTGTCTGCACGCCGATGTTAAAGCTGTGCAGCAGATGCATGAAATGTGAAGATCTCAAAGTAAACTTTTGTTTTAACACCTATTATAGCAACCGCCACCACTCTAATAAACACGTGCCTATAAATACAACACAGCGACGGTTAGAAGACGACCGAATATCTGCAGCAGTTCTCACACTGCCTGTAAAACCAGTAAAGAGGAATGCATCAGTCCAGCACAAACATCTATTTCTGCAACAGAAAACAAGCAATGTCCCTAAAAATAAAGAATTATCCAAACTAGAGCCTGAAATAACCCACCGAGCCTGCAGAACCTCAGAGATCTAATGATCAAACCGATGGTACAAAAGTTACCGTTTTCTAACCAACTTTAGTGAAAAATGAAGTTTCAGTTAATAAAAATCTATACATTCTGATCTTTAACGGCTTTAAGGGTCTGAAGCGACGCTGGCTGGACCCTGGAGATGCTCAGATCGTTTCCTCTTTGCACACAGAGTCCGTGTCGCTGCCATCATTTTATTTTTAAAAGCCTGAATGGCTTTGTTCCTTATACCTTAATTTATGCATCTGCAGCCACAGATCACATCCTCTTTTGTTTTCTTGCATCTGAGGAAGTTACAGAGGAATCTTCAGTGGTTCAGGCATCATCTTGAAATGATTTCAGTTCAGTAAAACATTTTGTTTTCTTTTTCCGACCATGTCTAAAGTGAGTTTATAAAGATAAATTTATTCAGGTGACATTTTCCAATTCTTCTTCTTTAATGTGAACACCTGCTGGACTCTTAAAGGTTTTAATCTTTTG